TAGTACATATAGATATAAAATCATCTATACTACACTAAGTGGAAATTGATATTTAGAAACCCACAACACAAGAATTAATACGTCGAGCGAAATAATCCAAACAAGAAAATCCTCATGTATATATTATGTCTCAAATTGCGAATTGCTAAATACCAATTCCAATCCTTTAAATAAAAAATAACACATATCAGAAATACTACAACTCCAAACCTCAACCATGATGAACCAATGTTACAATCTCGGACTATATCACCCAACATAAACATCTTCATTGATCATGCCCCAAACAAACTGTATACCCTTCATAAATATACCCAACATAAACATCTTCATTGATCATGCCCCAAACAAACTGTATACCCTTCATAAATATACATATATATATATATATATATAATAACGATACTCTTGTAAGGTACTCACAATATCATGTGGAAACAACATACAACACCCTTACTCAATCGTTCCGCGGAGATAAGTAAATCACCCTATTCCGAAATGATGCATCCAGATGATCGTACAACAGAGTATCGACATATCAGCCTAATCTAAAAACCCTGATCATCTTCGAGTATGGTACAGTCGTGATCTCATTGTGGGAAAACATCCAACTCTAAGTGTAGTACACCTGCGGTCTCATTACGAAAAAACGTCCATCACTAAGCATCCACCACTGACAGGTTATGTATTATATGTGTTATTCCAACACTATTAACTCGATCATGTATTACGCATCTCGACTAAGCATATAAACTCAACTAAGAACAAGTATTTAAGTGTTCGTGCACGTATCTCGATGTACGAATCTATGTCTCATATTCACAAACATCTCAGGTGTTAAGCATATGACAAATAACATAATACAATGTGGGTTGACCGAGAAAATCCCTCGATTAAACAATAATTTGCACAAAAACATGCACAGGCATAAACATGCGGGTCGGTCGACCGGGCATGCGTCGTCAGTCGACCGGCCAGAAGTCCAGAGGCTGGTTCTGTAGGATGTGTTCATATGCCGTGTTCGTGATTCTAACTTGTTTAACTTGCTGTAAAACATATAAAATACATTTTAAATACTTAATTATCATTACTGAAGATCATCTAGCACATGAAACAACAATTATTACATTAATTAACATGTACAAACCCTAAACATGTACAAAAGCAACAAAACGTCGTGAAAACCATCAAAACTCATTTAAATCTCATTTTTAATTACTTTCAGATCTTTATCTACATCAAAAAATTCATTTGAAATCCTTGAAACTCAAAAAATTTAGATATTTATCTCACATATTATAAAAGAACTATTTTTATGCATGAAAATAGGTTTTAGGCTCAATAAAACCAAATCAAATCTCATTAAAACAATTTAAAACATGGATGTAGGGTTAGCAGAGATGAAACTCACCTGAAAAATTTGTTGAAAGCCTAATAGTACACACCCAAGTCAGATCCCTTAGCCACAAGCTAACAATCTTGCCTTCATATCGAAAATTATTTCTCAAAGCTCTTGAATTCACAAAACTTGGATCTAGGGTTTATGAGAGAGATGATGGCTGCTAGGGTTTAGGGGATATACTAAAAGATGTGAAAAATTCGTGAAAAAGTGGTTTATACATATGTGTGCAGCTGGGCCTCAAAAGACCTGAAATCCAACCGCAACTGTGTTTCTAAAAAATCCAACGTCGGTCGATCGGGCCTTGTGGGGCGGTCGACCGGCCAGAGTATTTTTAGATGTGCATGTTTTTGGCTTTGTGCATGTTTTGAACTTGATTCTTTCACATATATGAACTTGTTTGATCTCAAATCACTTGCTATCATACTCATACACCATTTAATGATATTTATCATATTAATAATTCATTTATCATAATTAATCACATATTATCTCAAATTTGTGAGGTTTTATAGTTTAGCATTTTTATGAATAAAATTGGTTGTTGTTGGGTCATTCCCCAAAAGTTACCATCTTGCATATTAAAATTGTTCCATAAATCAGGACCCTAGCTAATTTGTGAAGAATGATAGAGCATATATCCCGGGTTGAACCCACAAGGGATTGATGAATTCCTTAGGGTTCTAGGGGGATGGAGTTGATGTCGTGCTTTTTCCTTTGCCCTTATCAAGTTCCTCACAATTGAAGTTGTCGGCCATACCTAAAAAATAATTTGATAGAAGTACACCAAACAAAGTCAAGCTACACATAAAACAAAGAAAAGTGCACTTAAAAATAATGGAATTGAAGTACATACAACACATAGTGCTCATCACACAAATATACATATGAACTTTAAATAGTTTAACAAACTTGATCATAAAATAATATTCTTGATAATAGAAAATTACACAAGCCTGAAACAATTGATCATTACAAAGTCAAGCTAATTCACATGTCAATTTCATCGGTATTCCCATCCTTATACTTTTTACAATAGTCAACCCACATCTCCCAAGCTATTTGGTCTTTACGATCCTTCCAAAGATTTCTTAATTGAGTTTGCTCCCTTTGAGTTTAAGGATAAGAGAAATTAACAATATTATATTCTTCTTCGCTCACAACATCACCTTAATCCTCTTTAATGTCAACTGTCTCGTTGAATATCTTATCATCCGGGTCAACCATGGCAATGTAATTATGAAGAACCATGTGTGCCAATATAATATCAACTTGTGCATGAAAAGGGTAATGAGGCTTAGCAGTGAGGATCTTGAAATGATTCTTCAAACAACCAAATGTAGATTTAATTTTAAACCTTAATGAAGAATGTCTACGATTGAATAATTCCCTTCTACATTTAGGTGTTCTTCCTATTTGTTCCTTCAAATGGTAACGGGCTCTACGATATGGGGAGATGAAACCGAGCATGGTTGTATATCCAACATCACACAAGTAATATTTTCCTACAATTTTCCATGATATACAATTGTTTATTAGTATTTTTTAACATTGCATTGAATATCAATCTTATTGTTGAAGTATGTACGTAAGATTTATAATTTTAATGAAATTACCATCATATACCCTCAATCTATGTGGTTGTGGCCTACATAATGCATCTTGAAGGACTCCAAAGTCGGTTGCAGAACCTTCTCACTCTGCTAATACGTAGGTGAATAGCTTGTTTAGAGTACACGCTGCTAGAACATTTTGTGTGACTCATTTGCGACCACGGAATCATGGAGCAAGATGGGTAGGTAACATAGCATCAATATGTGTTCCATCTATCATATTGATGCAATCCTAGAGAGTATAAAATATTACCAGTGAATAATTATATTAAATTAAATAGTAATGGAGATATTCACATAGTATAGAGTGTATACCTTAAAATAAGGGTAGTATAAAGGATTGTTAACAATCTCTTGTGGAACTTCATTCCATGCATGTCTCAAGAAGTGCGGATGTATGTAGCAAATAGCTTCTAACACCTTGTTAAAATATCTACTTACAATCCCACCAGGTCTAATAAAATGTGATCTAACAATTCGATTTTTAGTTTTATGCCCCAATATATTCAAAGTCATAGCACGCTACTCCTCCACGATAACGTGTCTCAAATCTCATAACAAGTCACCCCTCCTCATAATTTCTGTAAAAGCGCCGCTGCACATTCTAACATAGTTGACACAACTATTACTGAATCCATTGTATACCTGATTCATGAGATCTTTTCTAACTTTATATTATTTTATTTTCTCCTCACTAGGACCCTGGCGAATGAGTCTACGTCTACTTTGCATTCTCGTCATAAATATCATAATAATGACTAAAGCAGAGGGTGGGGCACCTGAGTACATGTTAATTACCATCTCTTCATCAAGGTCACCATCCATCTACAATATTCGCATCATATTGAAATAGGTATTAACAAACGAAATCATGCAATTATCAAGATATGATAACCATTACATTATATAAACAACCACACAATTTACCAACTAAGAAATGCACCGTGTTCAAGTCATAGAAATTAATCAGATATGGAAATTAATTTTTAAAAAACTACAGAATTAACCAATACCAAACTCCAATTGGAACTTTCTTAGTACTTCTCATTGAAACTTTCATGATATATACCCCATTATTTTCATCACATATACCACATTAAACTTCAAAATGACTTTTACAAAAACTACAAAATTACTTTTTAAAAAGTGCTAGCTATTCTTCACATTATATTATTAGTTATACCACAGTAAACAAACTATGGAACTAAATACATCATAAATATTAGGTATACCGCAATAACCAAAGCATCAAAAGGGTGTAAGATCTCACTTAAAAATAAATCAAAATTGACATCAATACAAGATAATGGAATTTTAGAACAAAAATAGTTCCATGAGATAAACATCCATCCATAAACACTAATTTTGGTAATTAAACAAACTCCCATAAGCTCATCTAATCAACAATAAAATACAGAAAATTAATAACTGAAATTCATGGGTTGGGAATTTTTTTTTATCAACAATAAAATCCATCAATTGAAATCCCAACACCAAAACCCCTATAAAATGACAAATTTATCAAAGATCTAGCAACCTAACAAAATAAATTAACAAATTACCTCAAAAATCAACATAAACCTATATAAGCAGCGGACTCCGAACAGTGGGCTGTGAACATCGAGTTCCGTCACTGGGCTGTGCACGACGGGAAGGTCTCTTGCCGGAGGAAAGCACAAGGGCGAGATAAATGGGTGACCAGATCTAGTTGCGACTAGGAAAAAAATTTTAGCGAAACCCTAGATTCGAAGTTAGGGGGTACGCGGAGAGAAAAGTAAGCTTTTCTCCCGGCTTCAAAACAACGAAACTTTTTCCGTGTTATGGCTTTACCCTCCGTTTTTTTCTTTTTTTTTTTTGGGACCATGTTGAAGTGAAAACCATTGTAGTTCATAGAGGCCCTTTTCCTGTTGGATTTTTAGACCAAACCAACAGCCCTACATTCTGATACAGAACATAAATAATTAAAGTAACTCAGAGCAGCGAGAGACTATCCAAAAAAATGTTGCTAAAACACACCTGATGCACCTTTTATACTTACACTTGGGCTACATGATAAGCCCTATACAAGGATACATAAAAATATAAATATCAGTTTGATAATCAAGAACTTTAGCAATTGATTCCACATTGTTGAACGTCAGGTCCAATAACTCTAGTAGTAAAAGGATCAACCCTAACCCACAACAAAGAGAAGATAGATGCAAGCAGAATAGCCCAGACAACTACAATCGTCGGAGTCCGATTCTGCCTCCCCATCAAACCCTTGAGGAAAGGATACAAATGGACAATGACCCAGAATGCGAAGAAGAGCTTCCCAAAGAGCGGACCCCATGACTGATACCCGCTGTTGATAGCGTACGAGATGCCAGCGACAACACCCACGAGGTTGACAAGGAGAAGGGTCGTAGGCGGTATGAGCAGTGTAGTCCACTTGAACATGTAGAGCTCAGTAAAGTCGCCGTCCTCATCAGAGGCCTTTGAGGTGACGGTGAAGTTGGTATCAATACCTGCGAGGACCTTGAGAAGACCTTGGAAGACGGCAAAGAGATGGGCAGAGACACCACCGATAACCCAAAACTGTTCGTTTCTCCACCATTCATCAATCCCGACGCCACTCCATCTCATTTCAAGTATACCGGTGGCAAAGATGGAAATAAAGAGAGAGATGAACCAAATACTTGCAATATTACTGATCTGTAAGATTTGGGGGGAAATGTCACAACAAATATATATATTAGGGAAAACAAAGTTTATTTACTTAGATTTACAAGCTAATTTATTTTACTGAAGTGATTCGGCTGGACCTTGAAGCTGCCTACTTGAAGTAGAACATGATGAAAAATAAAAATCAATTACAAACGACATCATTATCAAATTATTTAAAAGAATTAAGATATAAAGATTTAGGGCATAAGTCCATTCGTTCTTAAAAAATTAAGCATTTAATGAGATCTTTGGAGATCTAATGACTTCAAGAGGGTACCAGATACATTCTGAAATAAATATACTACTATGCCACTCCATCTAATTCAAAGATAATTTTATTTCATCAATCATTAATATTTTAAGATTAAAACAAGAATATTTCTTCCAAGAACATATAATAGTTAACATCATATTTCTCCTAACTGATTAATCAAAAATATTCTCAAAATTATATTCGATCTACATAAGAAAACTCTTATTTTGTGAACCACGTACATGGTATCAAGTCATGTTAAAGAAAGTACCTGAGGGATGATGAACTTTCCAGTAAGGAGACAGATGGCTGGCAATGTACAGTATGCAACGAGGGGGATAGCAGTAAGTGGGTAGATTGTGGTGTTAATGTAGGCAAATCTTTCCAAGAATTTGAGACGGCCTCCATAGCCATACCAAATGGGGCAATGCCGACTGAAGAGAATCTCAACAGACCCCAGGGCCCACCGAAGCACTTGGTTCAGACGATCTGACAAGTTGATGGGGGCAGATCCTTTGAAGGCTGGACGATGAGGCATGCAGTAGATTGAACGCCAACCCCGAGCATGCATCTTGAATCCAGTAAGAATATCCTCTGTAACTGAGCCATAAATCCATCCAATCTACAGAAGAAAAAACAAATAAATCAATAAGAAGTCAAGACAAGCGTTGCACGTATATTTGTGAACTCAAAATTGCTCCTGGCGAAATAAACTAGGAGTATTGCGACAAACTTAATAGTTGCTTATTACTTGAGCATTGGTTTAATAAAATAGACAGCAATTGCAGAAACCCAAATTTTGATTTTCTACTGAACCACAACTTAACTATTTAGTCCTATATCCACCAAAAAGTCAGCAAACAAAAGATACATTAATAAATAACAGTTAAGTCGCTCTATAACACAATTAATGTTTAAATGCAATAAATACTTCTCCCCAGAATAAGGAATGATCCTTGGATTTCATACAATGGTAACCAACTTGTGGCAGGAAATGTAGGAAATAACCAAGGGAGTTATTAACATAATGGAAGAATGAGAAGCAAGATACATCAGCAAGATTGAGAATCATGAGCGGTCCATAGAATCGTAAGCAACTCATTCCAGGAAAGTTTAGGAAATAACAAAATGGAAGATTGAGGATGAACAAGATAGATCAGAGAATCATGGCAGCAATCCGAATTGCTGAACTGGACCTCTCGCTAATCTCAAATTCAACCAGTCCATGGAGATTTGAACATACAACAGATGATAGGTTAGCTTACTAATATTACGATTGAAGCTCTACAGGTCCATAAAGCTTAGCAACTTCATTTTCGAAGTGCAGGCATCACAGAGATCAAGTAAATAACTAGATATCTGTTTCTAAACAATAATTCTTAAATATGAGGTTCCAGGTAATTAAAGCAGACATCAGAATAGGGTTTCAGAGCATATCTGATACAGCAATGAAATAAGATGTTGTTAGAGCCTCAGGTGTTTTAGTCGAATACCTCATTACCCCAGTCTGTCTTGTCTTCGTAGCCACAGCTGATGACATGAATAGCTTCTTTTAGGAGAGATTCAGGTGTTGCTGACTGAGGAACGCCACCATGTTCCATTAGCGTGGAGGCAACAAAGACAGTAGACTGGCCAAACCTTTTCTCCAAGCTCACTTGTGACATGAGCAATGACTTCTCGTCATCAAATCCAGCTCCTGGTATATAAAATTAAAATATAATAGTCAACATAAGGAAAAAATCAAAACGAAATGTAGTTCAGGCATCAGAAAAGCGCCGTAAGTGGTAAGCCAAGGTACGCAAGCTTGAACGCATACAAATTGAAGTAAAACACCATATCCAAATTACTTTAGCTTGGTTAATGCCACAGTATAAATAATCAAATGGCTCTTGACAAATTAATTTTATATAAAAACAAAAAGATATAAGCGTACACCTTCAACTCCCTCTTCTATGTCCTCAAGATTGAATACTGGCACGGTATTGTCCACATGCTTGTTTGATTTTTTCTTGTCCGCCTTCTTGCTTGATTTAGTTTTCTTCCTAGAACCACCACAGAGTGAAGACAAGAATCCACCGATCTTATGCTTCTTGACGGGAGGCTCATAGCCATACAAGGCAGTTCTATTGAACACACACCCTGTGCCCACATAGACAGGGCCTTGGATGCCATCGAGACCTCTTAAATTAATCTAGAATGATAAAGAAGGCAGAGTCAGTCAGAAAATGATACCATTTCTACAGACTTTACAATTGAAATAATGGTAGCCCTTCTCTTTTTTTAGATAAGACCAAAGAAGATCTTTTAAAAAATCAAATTGCTGAAGATGAAATTTTGAGGACTGAAAAGAACAGAAAAGAGCCTTGCTGAGAGAAGCATACAGATAAAATTTTCACAGACTGCAAAAACTAGAAATGAATTTGAATCTCTTCAGATCTTGTAGGAAATATCGTATCAGGAATCAACAAACAATTACCATTTACTGTAATTTCACTAGAAGACATGGAACCCCAACCCCAACCCCAACCCCAACCCCCCAAAAAAAGAAGATAAGACAAAAAAGAGCCTTTTTTTCAAGAGTTATAGCTCCACTAAAAGGATACAAGCGTACAAGAGACCTTTACCTAGAATGAAGATTCAGATTCAGCTAGGTTTCAGTTTGGGAAGAGTTTTTAACAGGTTTCACTAGTTTCAAGAGTTTAACTTGGGTTTTATGCCAATGTTACGTTTATGAACATGTAGACCAAATGTAGATATGTAGCCATTTTTGGTTCTTTATATATGTTGCCATAAGGAGCATATATAGTATGAAGATACAGGCTAAATAGTGCCAAATCAAGAGAAGTGAGCTTCTGGTACTCAACCAACCTAAAAATTAAACCAAAATAGTATTGATATTGTTATTTTAAAGTAAATTTCATATTGTAACCAAGTTAAAAGAAAACATATCAAACAAAGATATATAAAAATTATACGCATATGGGATGGGTATAAAAGTTAAAAGAGGATGAAACTATTACCAACTAGGATCATTTGCCTTTAATTTTAAAATTTCTTATATTCAATAACTTTCATCAAGAATTTATTGAACCTAAGCAAACCAAGTCTGCAACTAGACTAAAACTGGTTGATTGAAATGCATATCAACCAAAACAGCAAACCAATACTACATAATAGTTTTGGATCGGTTCTTACTCAAACCAAGATGAACCGCTGAAAGTGGTTTAACTTTATCCCATGTGTACAGTACATTTGGAATTATCTAAAGTACATAGGCTAAACACCTAGAATCTTGGGTGATAAATTTGACCACTAGCTAATAAAAAAAGGTGAAAAACTAAGGAGAACTCGACTTACATCAAAGAACACAGTATTACGGTTGGCATACCGATCATTCCTGTCTATACCATCAAACCTCTGTGGAAATTGTACATAACAAACTGATCTCCCAAGGTTTGGATCCATAAGGAAACACATAGCTTCCCTCAATGCCTTGCTGTTGTTTATGTAATGATCACAATCCAGATTCAACATATAGGATCCATTGGTAAGGACAGCTGAAACCCGTACCTGCGAGAGTTATAATAGATCACCAACTGAAAGGCTTTCATATAATATAATGCAACTAAATGACAAGGTGTGGCTAATTTCTTACAAGAGCATTCATGGCACCAGCCTTCTTGTGATGTTGAAAACCAGGACGCTTCTCACGAGACACATAGACTAACCGTGGAAGCTCATTCCCCTCACTGTCAAGCCCTCCACTATGCCCTAAGAAAACCTGCAAGTCATGGATATCAATTTTTAATCAGAAACTATCAGCTTTAGAATTCATCTTAGCAGTTACTTCTTCCTTGACATAATATGCAATACACTGGCGTGGCAAACAACAAGCTCTCACGAGTCTCGACACTTGAATAATAAAATCCTTGATGAGTAAGGGATGCATCAAGGATCAATGGGCAACTAATTGCAGATATGTTATTCTTATTTCTCCATTTTCTCACAAACTATACTAAATAGCATTTCATTCATCTGAGAATAAAAACTGAATTAAGCATTAAAGAAATATTAAACCATTCAAATATGTCGCCAGTGAAGAATCCTGTCAACCAGAAAAGTAGCTGCCAATTCAGTTAGCAATGCAAACCTGTATCATGCCAGGATGATCTCTGGTATTATTTCCAGGCCAAGGCGTTCCATCTTGCATGATCCATCCTTCCTCAGGAACTTTTTGTGCCTTTGCAACAAGGCCATTGATGCGAACTTTGAATTCTTCATACTCTCTCTGTTTACAGAAAGTGGCAGTAAAAAGGGACACATTCAACAAGATGAATTAAAAACTAAAAATGAAAATTAACATAACTAATATGTGTACCTTCATTGCTCGGCGATCTTTGACAAATGAAGGATGAACCTTATCCTTCAGATAATCAATCTTTTGTGCAAAGTACCATTCAGGAGCTCGGGGTTCAATACTATATTTCTTACAGAAAGGAACCCATTTTCTTGCAAATTCTGAGGTTTCAGCCAGGGCTTCGAATGTCAGCATGGCAGCTCCATCATCAGAAACATAGCAAGAAACCTTATCAACAGGGTAATCCACAGCAAGAATTGACAGCACTGTATTGGCAGTGACAAGAGGGGGCTCCTTCAAAGGGTCAACAGTACTAACAAAAATGTCAACTGCAGCCAATTGAGAGGGTTCACCTTCTCTGTCGTATCTGTTAAATCAACAAAGGTATAAGTTAAGAAAGAACTCTCTAAACCATTTGTTAAAACATAGATCAATTGCAGTGAGAAGAAAAAGAAGTGTAGTAAGAGGAGATTATAGAAA